GGGGGAGGGGAGTGGTGGGCGGAGGGAGCGCCTGACTGGGTGGCGAGGGTGTGCGCCCAAGCCTGTGCCCTTGTGCTCTCCCCAGCTGGCGAGGGGCAGCAGCAGAGTGGAAGGATACCTGCGCCAGAGCCTGCTGTACTTGCAGAGCCCACAGGAGCGCTTGCGAGAGGTGGCCGTCAGGTTCCTTGGTGAGCCCCCAACCCCTGCGGTCCCTCTCTGTCCTGGAGCAGCCCCGGCTGCTGCGCTGGCAGCAAGAAGCAGCCTTGCGGCTGCGGCTGCTGCAACCCTGAGCGCCTCATGCCAGGCCGGGGCCCCCAGGGGCTCCGGCTCACCCTCTCTCATCTCCGCCCGCACACGTGGGGCTGCTGGCAGCCTTCTTCAGTCACAGAATCACAGAACGGCCAAGGTTGGAAGGGACCTCTGGAGATCATCCAGTCCAACCTCCCTGCTCGAGCAGGCTCCTCTAGAGCACGTTGCCCAGGATCGCGTCCAGGCGCGTTTTGAATATCTCCACGGAAGGAGACTCCACAACCTCTCTGGGCAACCTCTTCCAGGGCTCAGTCAGCCTCCCAGGAAAGCAGCTTTTCCTCATGGTCACATGGAACTTCCTACGTTTCAGTTTGTGCCCGTTACCTCTGGTCCTGTCACTGAGCACCACGGAGAAGAGTCTGGCCCCATCCTCTTGACACCCTCCCTGCAGATATTCGTACACATGGAGGAGATCGCCTCTCAGGCTTCTCTTCTCCCTCACAGCAATGCTCTGGGGTGCATTGTCACGCAGTGCAGAGCGGCCTGGGGTCAGCGCTGTCCAAAGGGAGGAGGGAGCCTGGCCAGGCTGGCAGGGCCCCGGAGGGCAGCTGTGCTGCTGCGCGTGGTCCGGGGAGCAGGATTGGTGAGGGGCTGTGCGTGTGTGCCTAGGGCTCGTCGGGCAGAGCATGAGGGGCCAGAGCAAGGAGAAGCTGGAGGACATCTGCGAGGGTGAGTGAGGGCAGCAGGGTGTGAGGCAGGGCTGGCGGGAGGAAGACAGAGGCCGGGCAGCGAGCTGGAGCAGGAGCAGGAAGCCGGAGCCGGAGCCGGAGCCGGAGCCGGAGCTGGAGCCGGAGCCGGAGCCGCAGGGAGAGCAGGAGCCTGCCCGGGTGCCACCTGCCAGCAGAGGAGGAGGCTGACGAGCGCGCTGGAGCAATTTATAGGCACCCAAAAGCGCAGGGGAAAGGGGAGCTGCTTTGGCATCTCATTCCAGCATCTGCTCTGCTCTTCCCACTCACAGAGAGTTTGGCATTACTCTGGCAGTGTGGGAAATATATATTTTT